GTTAGATGTGAGCGCAAATCATCACATGAAATTTAATTTTAGACACTTCCAACATATGGCAAAAGTAAAGCCAGTGAAGCAGTTGTAAGCACAGAGGTTTCCTCTTGCCCATGTGAGCACTACGATACATGCCAATTGCCTCAAACACTCCTGGGATAATATCAGGATGAGAAGAATTCATTGTTTTATGTAAAAATAAGACACGCAAAAGACTTTGGGGCCCTTAAAAAAATCCGTCTCTTACACAATGAAAAACTAAGGGCAGATTGGTCTTATTGCAGCTAACTGGCTGTTTAAAGGTGACAAGTTGAGTTCTTCTAGCTGTAATTTATAACTCAGCAACAGAACCAATGTTTTATTCCCAACCATTAAAAGTGGGTAACACATCTGCTAAAACTCTATCACAATGGCTGGCTTTTCACTGCGACAGGAAATGTAACCCAATAGTCTCAGAACTTCTACAAAACCCAGCCATTTCTTGATGTAAAAGGATTTGAAAATTCAGTTCACTGAAACATCTGTTAAGCTCTTGCTACTCTAACATATGATATTCTTTCTGCTCCGTTACCTGCCAACAAAAATACATGGGTCTATGTAATGCTATCACAACTGTGTGATAATGGCACTCTGCTTCTAATTTTATATGCCATTGTACACTCACAAAATCACCTGGGGGTGACACCAGATAGCATGCTGAGTGTAAGTTCAAAACATAAAATAAATATATTTCATTTTAATCTTGTATATAAATAGTAACAAATCAGATAGGTTCTGAATGACTAGCATTAATTTAAAAGAAACAACTTAGTCAAATGGTTCTTGAGCCAACTTTCACAAAGAGATAGTAAAGGAGAGCAAGAAAGAAAGAGGCAGAGAAAGACAGCGAAAGAGCACAAAAAAGAGATGTAAAAAGATAAAAAATCGAAAAGAAGTCCAAGGAAGCAAAACCCTAAAGCCTTATCTCAAACCAGCTAAGCATATGCATGGCCTACACAGTTACTTTCAGAGCTTCTCTTCCAATCTGTTACTTACAGTGGCCGCTTAGTTTCAATTGACATTTAATTATACTATAAGTGTCTTCTATTTACTGACTAACTATACATGGCTAAGTAAAAGAGAGGCCTTTTGAACAGCAGTAGAGCTACAATTACTACAATAATAAAATGGTAATTTATTTGGAACTATTGCTTTCTACAAAAAAAATACTTGCTCTCCATTTCTGTCTGGGAAACGCTTGCAGATTTTAGATCTTGAAAAGAGGTGGGAGGGAAAAAAAGAATCGTCTTTCAGTTTCCAATGCTCTACTTAACAAAAGCACTTCCTGTATTCCTATAACCACCAGTGATTTAAATACTGTTATGTTTCAAAAGCTGACCTGACGGCTCGCTCTGATTCAACGAAAGAGTTCACTATAACCAGCACAAACATATTACATTTTTTATGCTGTAGTCTGTCATAAAACAGGTTTAGAAAATATCAAGTTGTATTTCTTCTTGCAGTAGGGTATGACCATTCAGAGAAACAATTAAAATTATGCCTCGAAAAGCCTCACACTTGAAAGACAGATAAATCCTCCCTAAGTATGTTTATTCTTTTAGGAAAACCAAATTCTAAGTGATCCACAAAACTTTTCTCTAAGCAGAAACTTAAAACAGCCTGAGTTTAGAAAATGTCCTAATTACTGAAATTAAATCATTGAGTTGCAGCAAATAACAGCAAACAGGTAAATAAGAATGTGATGTTAGAATACTGATTCCTAGTGCTTCAGGGAATCATCTAAAACCGAAGAGCTACCAGCAGTGTCTCCCAGGCAAAATTCTGTAGTGCTGAATATCCCGAGGGCCATGTGCCAGAGCCTGCACGACTTCTCCCCAAATTAGTGATTAACTGTATGCAATAACATGCATTTCTGAAGAAAATACTACATCCTCATCAAACAATGTAGAGGACTCAACATTCACGAACTAAACAACTACATTAAAAAAAATTATTTCAAATACACTATGTATATTTTTTCATTGTTGGAAACAAAACAAAATAATTACTGAACTGTTATGACTTCTAGTAAGTAAACTTTAAATAATTGTAAGTACCACAGTAAATGATGACAAGTAAGTCAAAGGCTTGAAGACTAATTTCTCAGTAGAAACTCACAGCCAGGACAGAATGTAAAAATTATATTGTTCTGGAAAAAACTAATAGGGAAACAACTGTATTTTCTAATTCTTCCCTGCATCTAGCTTCAAAGTTTCCAAAAGAGCTGAAACTGAGTGTTACTCTGAGCTATCCACCACTCTGGGAACATCCAGTAGTCTAACTTTGTGAAATATAAATTAAAGATGTACTTATTTTGTATTAACAGCTTTTACTACAATAATACAAAAAGGCCCCAATTAGAATCAGGTGTGTGCAGCTGCAGTCTCTGTATGTGTGTGTGTATATATGCATATACGTGCATGGGTCCATATAGACTCCAGGAGCCTCTACAGTTCAAAACACAGCAAAGAGCTTCAAACTGGCCTCAGAAGGATTAGGCACTCCATGTACCTCAGTGCTGCAGCAGCTCAAGCTACCACCTCCGAAATCAAAGCCGGTACCAGCGGGTCTGCGTGGCACCCTGCCTGAACTGGTAAACCTTACCTCTCCACACAGCCTTGGCACGGATCTCTCAATTCCAGTTATGGACCCAGCTCGGTTGCAGCTACTTTACATACTGCTGCATCACGCTGCACTGTGCAATGCAGACAGCCTTGCAAAACACAGGCACGTGTTCACAGCCTTGGAACTGCAGCTTCGAGCTTTACCAAAACTCTGAAGCAAGCTGCCACAGAAATACTGAAAGGAAGCCCACAGAAAGTTCCTCAGCAAAGTCTATTCCAGTTTGGTGACAGCACAATTGCTAAAAAAGGAGAAGGAGCAAATAATTTTCTCCCTACAAATCTTAAAATAGGAAAACTCTCATACTGATGATGTTGAGAATATCAGCTTAGCTTGTTTGCACACCCAGGAAGGGGCACTTTTCCAGTTTTACTGGTAATTGAAACGTTGATGTGGTTCAAGGGAACACATAGAACTGATGTTTACCCTCAACCCATAACCTCCATCATAACACTCAGATAACCTCAGTGAAATACATTCAAACACAAAGAGCTTACTAAGGTGATTGTGCTCAGACTAGAATGCACTATTATTCAGAACTTATATTTTTTTGTAGTATATTTTGTATTCTCTTTTATGTACCACCCATAAATAAATAGATACTATAAAAAACATCTATCCACTGTTTTAAAGAATTCAAAATGAACTTCAGTGTTTTATTTTGTTCCGTAGAGGATGAGATTATCTGAGTAACAAACAGAAAAGGTTCCTTTGTGAAAATATGTCAGACCTAATAAAACTAACAATTCATAAAAGTTCCACAGACTGGATCCCTTTCATGGGACGATGATAACATTTACTTACTCATTCTCAGGAGAACTTCGAGAATTTGTTTTACAAACTATCCCTAACACAGGAGAGACATGGTTTTAGAGGCCCTGGTCTGAAAACATGCTGTTGAAATATATTATTACTTGTCCCAAAGCGCAAGAATGCTCACTTAACAATCTCAAGGACATAAATAGGTTTTGCACATGTACCGGCTGCAAACTGCAGGCAGACATTTGAGGTGTGGGCTCTCCTGACTGATGCACTGTCAATGCACCACGCTAGAAGGTTTGGGTTTGCTTCTCAGCTCTTACTGAAGAACCAGTATTGCTCACAAAGCTGTTTTTTTTCAGATATGTAAGTAGAGTTTTAAACACTATGAAATGTGTTTTCCATTTGCATTAACCCAGTGTAAATTAAGATTAATTTCATTATCTCAATAATAATTAAATGTACAAGCAAATATTTTTGAACAGCTATACGTACAAGTTCCACCATTGATTTGCTCAGCTACTATCAGTTACGTGCTAGATTAAGCTACTTAAGGATGGATCCCTCTGCCTCAACATTCCTTCTTTGCTCTTTCTCAGATAAAACCAATTAACTTGGTCTGAAACAGTAAGTTAAGCTACACCACAACTACTCTTGTCAGTTGTAAAGTCTTCTGTCAAAGGGGCCTGGTTTGGACATGAGCAACTTGCTGTGGCTAGATGAGTTCTGCAAGGATATGAATCTTTTCATTTCCCTGATTCATAGCTGCAAACATCGAAGGGGGACTCCTTCTCCCTGCTCCCCTTTTGGGAATATCTTTCTTCGTCAGTGAATAAGGGATGAGAAACAGTCAGTAAGGCTAAAGGAAGCCATTCTCAATACAGGAAAAGTCATCCTGTGCCTAAAAGACTTCGGATTCCTTATAAATAACCTGGTCAGAGGTTCAAGGGTTAAGAGTAACCCCTGCAAGCCTCGCAATGCTGGCTATGAAAGTGTATCCTTTCATTTGCCATGGTTCCAGTCCAAAGTCCAATGGAGACACAGGGAAAACACCCATTGCCTTCAGTTCTCTTTAAGAATCAAGAAAATTGTTGTGTTGTTTTGCTTTTTTTAAATATGAATGAAGGTGCTTTTACCACTGAAAGCACTTTCCCTCAGCCATTAATAATGTCTGTAGTATCTTTCCTAACTAGGGCATCTGTATACATAAAAAATGCAGTCAAGTATACTCCACTTAAAAACCAAAGCAATTTTTTGATGTTTTACATATACCGGGTACAGAAATAACTCTAAAGTATCCCACACCTAAGATGTACAACTGCTATAAACAGTTAAAATCATATATTCAAACAAGAAAGTCATGCAATCCATCTAACAAGGCACCTTTACTGAAGATAGCCAAAGTTAATCTAAAATGGTTGAAGAATCCTCTTCTAGAGTGCTATCTTGGCACGAGCTTTGTCAGGTTCAGTTACAAAAAGGCACTAGGTCAAAGCAGACACATTACATCCAGATTTTTATAACTTTACTCCCCTGATTTGAAAAAATGAAGATGTGTAAAATACTGTAAGTCAGTCACTTACCATGGACTTGGTGAAAGGTCGAGCCAAGGTAAACAGCAGGGTGTACACCCACCAGTTACGATGAATGGCGGAGTAAATCATATTTCCAGGATGGACTGCATTAGATGTCACCCCATGGGGAGAAAGGCGTCGGTTCAGCTCGTTGGAGAACAGTATATTGCAAAGCTTGGAACGATTGTAGGCCAACATAGCCCAGTACTCCTTCTGAGATGGAGAAAGCAGGCTGAAATCAAGTTTTCCAGAGGAGTCTTTAATATCTGTAAATCTAAAAAACAGTGAATATGCCTTAGATACCCCGAAGGTAATCTCACTCACATTAAAAGAACATAAAATTCAGAAGAGAGAGTAGAATTTGGCCAGAACCAACATAAAACAACAGCTTATTTAGCAATTGAAAGCATCTATTAGAAATTGCCCGAGATCCAAGGAATAGTTACATACAATGTGGCAGTAAAACTACGGAATAATTGGCAAAGAAAATGATACATAAAAACAAGTCAAAAAAGGCAACATATATAAGGCATCATATATAACTTACAAATCACTTTATTTCAAATCCAAAAAACGATTTTACCATAGATCCATGAAAGCACAATCAACTTCGAGGAAAAAATGTAGGACAAAATAACTTCATTAGAAGCAGAGAAAACCAGCTTCCTTTCATTTCCCCTTCTTCCCTTCCCCTGATTATTTCATCCAGTGTTCACGTACTGCACTCTTTCATTTAAGTGTTCAAGTAACTATGGATGAGTCTCACTGCTTCTTTTTTTAGATTAAAAATTGATGAATATAAAGGGGTTATAACCTTGGTAACTTGCCATCAGTAGTCTTATATGTTTAAAAGATAAATGTAAACAAAGCCAAAATGAGTTCTGGCAGAGTATAATGTTTTTAAGTATACCCATGGCATGGCTGAACACAAATCAAAGTAACTAGTTGATGTTTTTTAATTGGGTCTGACAGAGTCATTAAACACCAGCTGTTTGTTTCTTTCCTTTTTCTTTCTTTTTTTAATAACAAAGTAGTGAATGTTGTAAAGACATTTACATGAATTAAAGGAAGTGTCCATATAACATTTTTCCCCACAATTCTTACAATCTGATTTATGAATTTACTGGTATATCGTAATATAAGAAAATAATACTACATTTAGTTACAGATCTATGTTTCATTCAGAAGAGCTACTAAAAATAAAAAGGATTTAGCAAGCTCTTTTTAATACTGAGAGTTTTCAGGATCAGCTGGGGAGAACAGGGATAAACATAATTATAGTACACACTAGAAAAATGGTTTAAAATATCTTTACTAATTTTGCATCTCATGCCCAGAATTGAAGAGATCAGCTGTAATTTCTACATTCATTCTGTGAGCAGAATTACAACACTCAGAGAAAAGCAACTACAGTATTTGAACTCAAGAGGAATCCAGGATGTTCTGTATCTTGCAGAATTAGCCCTTCAATTTCAACAACAAAATTTCTCTTTCATAATTTTCAGTTAGATAAAATACATTTCTGAAATTAACAGGACTATTCGGGGGGGAATTTCCTATATTCATTCCTCAAGTAATCATTTATGACACCAAAATTAATCTATAAATAGAATACTTTGTGTATACTGTATAATGGAAAAGCGGTGGCATATTTTGAGTCCAGTCCTGCAAGTGTGCTTATGTGAGTCAATCTTACTTATGTCGGCAATCTCATTGAATTCAGTAGGATAAGGGCTGTACAATCAAATTAACAACACAGAAATAAAGGCAGAAGGAAAGTCAGCCTACTTATTATTCTGCAGCTAATACGATGTGCTTAAAGTACCCAAAAGCTTAATTTAAACAGGATTCATTTGTGCTGAATCCAGAGAAGTAACTAGAAACAAACAAAGAACCAGAGAGGCAAATAAATATTTTGCCTTGGAGCAGTCTAGTATAATATTTTCTGCAAACATGGGCCTTTATTTTTCCCCTAACAGGGGGTCTTGACTCCAGTGAAAAGATCCAGCCAAGGTTTATGGAAGTAATTAGATACCAACACTTCTGTTTTACAACATAGTTTAAGGCTCAGAGTTCTCAAGTAGGTCAGAAAGTACTACCATCCAATAATACCTAATGTCTAAACTAACTCCTTACATCAACCTCTTGCCATTAAACAGATTAGGGGGAATAAGCACAGTTATTTACAATGATCAGTTGAAGTGTTAAAACAAGCCGTAATACATGAATTCGCCCCCTTAGAAAACAGGAAATTTACTAGTTGCATTTACTATTTTATTCAAACATAGACTGTTACTTATTTTTTGATGGGCTTATATAAACCTTGGCTGATCTTACTGAGTTAGCAATGAACACTTTAAAAACCAGTTTCAAAAACACGGATAAAGATGTCCAGCAATGTGTGCTCTAGTTACACATAGCACTTAATACAGGGAAAAACAAAGATGTCATTTAAAATACTATTAGAGATACAAACTTACAAAGGGGAACAAGAGGCTGACAATTCAACATAATCTCCCATTAAATAACAGCTCATTTATACGTATCCCATTGTGCCCTCCACATCTGGCAAGTGATTGGAGTTGGCAGATTTATTTCTAGAGCTATCTTGCCTGCCCTGCAGTAGCCTCCCTCACTCTGCTACTCGCTTTCACAAACCTGGTGTGATTTGCAAAGATAAGGATGTCCAGATTTTGTTACCACCTAATTACTAGACATTTCATGTCTTTTAACACTGGGGAGGATTATTACCGGCATTTTCTATTGCTTCCTTTCATTTCAGCCATCATAAATTCAAAATGGTAAAAGTAAATCTATCTGCAGTGTGTCATTTATACCATAAGCCTCTGTGTTTGGAAGTGATAAAGGTTTCAGCCCGACCCTTGGCTGGTCTCTCTCTACCAGGTCCCTGGGGTTACATTTTATGGAAACATGATTAAAAAAATAAGCTTCATTCTGGGTCACTAAAACATTTCAGAAATACGAAGGCAGGGGGGAAAAAAAAAAAAAAAGCACCCGCACATTCTTCCTTTTCAGTTGCTAGAGCTATTACACATGACCAAAAGTGAAATAGAAATCAACAGTAATGTTTAAAGCTGGACATTATAGGTCTAATCCTGCAGTCCCTGAACTAAATCAGAAGGCAGTAAGTGGCTTGCGCCCACTAAAATTCAGAACTGGGGTATGCATTTTGCACAAGGAAGTTTATTTAAATCAAATCCATCTTTGCAGTTATTAACACAAACACCACAAGCAAGTCTAAAATAAGGCAAATCTCATCAACGTCTTTTCTGCCAACTGTACTTCTCCTAGCAGTAGAAAAGATGAGCATCTAACATTTTAATTAAAAAAATTCACCAAAAGAGGCATGGCCAGATTTCTAATATGTATTAACTACACCACTTCCCATTTTACAATTATACAGCTAATGTCTGCATTGAATTCCCTAATTTCTCATTATAAAACAATTGGATTTCATCTAGCAGTTTTTAATTGCATTGTTTCTCCTGCTAAAATAACTGCACATTCTTCTCGGTAAGATGTTGAAGTTGTTGAATGACAAATCAATATAGGTCATGCCATTCAGATTTAATCAATTATTATTCCATCTCCTCACAAAATCAATGAGTGGTCTGAAATGCGGCGAAAATCTGCATTCATACAGAAAATACCTACACACTGTTATAAAACTGGAACACACTTTATCCAGCAGCAGAGCCAAGTCCAGTAGCATCCACAGGCATTAGTAATGCTTCTATTTTTAAAAAGATTATTCAAACACAAATGCTTTAGAGCAAGGCCTTTCATTTTCAAAAAGTTTTGCAGCTCTGCCGTAACTGTTTTATGCTCTAGGGATAAAAGATTTCAGCTAAATCGAAGGTAACGTTCACCAACCTGTGCGATTCGGAGGACACCACCACAACCCTGGCAGGAGCCGAGCGGCGTAACACGTCCTCCAGCAGCTGGACGAGGTGGAAATGTCCCAAGTGGTTCACCTGGAAGGTGGACTCCAGGCCGTCCTCCGTGAGGCCCCAGGGTGCACCAAACACGGCGGCGTTGCAGATCAGCACGTGAAGAGGCCTGAGCAACCAGAAGCGTTGAATAAAATCGGATCAGGAGAAAGAAACCAAAGAGGAACACGTGTAATCACCTCCCTGCATGAACCGGGCCAAGGGGCGCCCTGGGTCCAGGCACGAAGGCTTTGGGCAGGTCCTCTGAGGGGCTGCCC